TTCAGAATTTCAGGAAAATGGCAAAAAAAAACTTAAATGGTTTATTTGCTAAAAATTGCAAACAAAAATCCAAAAATATAACGTACCCATGGAACTTCATGGCCTTTCCAAATATTGAAATGCCCCTAGTTTCCTGAAAATCTATCAAAATTTAAACTAATATTCAAGTATTTTCCGGAAAGGGTCAGGCCAATTTAAATAAAATAAAAAAAATTAAACTCAGTAAAACTATTGGAAAAATGAATTTATTTTCCGGAAAAGTCAGGCCCATTTAAAATTTTAAAAATCCTTAAAATCCTGAAAACCCTTAAAATTTTGAAAGCCCGGACCTTTCAAAATTTTAAGGATTTTAAGGAATTTAAGGCCTTTTAAATTCTTAAAATCCTTAAAATTTTGAAAGAAAATTAAATTATTTTCCGGAAAGAGGCAGGCCCATTTAAAATTTTCAAAATCCTTAAAATCCTGAAAACCCTTAAAATTTTGAAAGCCCGGGCCTTTCAAAATTTTAAGGATTTTAAGGAATTTAAGGCTTTTTAAAGTTCTTAAAATCCTTAAACTCCTTAAAATTTTGAAAGAAAATTAAAATATTTTCCGGAAAGAGGCAGGCCCATTTAAAATTTTCAAAATCCTTACAATCCTTAAAATTTTGAAAGCCCGGGCCTTTCAAAATTTTAAGGATTTTAAGGAATTGAAGGCCTTTTAAATCTCTTAAAATCCTTAAAATCCTTAAAATTTTGAAAGAAAACTAAATCATTTTCCGGAAAGAGGCAGGCCCATTTAAAATTTTAAAAATCCTTAAAATCCTTAAAATCCTTAAAATTTTGAAAGCCCGGGCCTTTTAAAATTTTAAGGATTTTAAGGAATTTAAGGCCTTTTAAATTTCTTAAAATCCTTAAAATCCTTAAAATTTTGAAAGAAAATTAAATCATTTTCCAGAAAGAGGCAGGCCCATTTAAAATTTTAAAAATCCTTAAAATCCTTAAAATTAAAATTTTGAAAGCCCGGGCCTTTCAAAATTTTAAGGATTTTAAGGAATTTAAGGCCTTTTAAATTTCTTAAAATCCTTAAAATCCTTAAAATTTTGAAAGAAAATTAAATCATTTTCCGGAAAGAGGCAGGCCCATTTAAAATTTTAAAAATCCCCTTAAAATCCTTAAAATGTTGAAAGCCCGGGCCTTTCAAAATTTTAAGGATTTTAAGGAATTTAAGGCCTTTTAAATTTCTTAAAATCCTTAAAATCCTTAAAATTTTGAAAGAAAATTAAACCATTTTCCGGAAAGAGGCAGGCCCATTTAAAATTTTAAAAATCCTTAAAATTATTTAAATTCCTTAAAATTTTGAAAGCCCGGGCCTTTCAAAATTTTAAGGATTTTAAGGAATTTAAGGCTTTTTAAATTTCTTAAAATCCTTAAAATTTTGAAAGAAAATTAAATCATTTTCCGGAAAGAGGCAGGCCCATTTAAAATTTTAAAAATCCTTAAAATCCTTAAAATCCTTAACATTTTGAAAGCCCGGGCCTTTCAAAATTTTAAGGATTTTAAGGAATTTAAGGCCTTTTAAATTTCTTAAAATCCTTAAAATCCTTAAAATTTTGAAAGAAAATTAAATCATTTTCCAGAAAGAGTCAGGCCCATTTAAAATTTTAAAAACCCTTAAAATCCTTAAAATTTTGAAAGGCCCGGGCTTTCAAAATTTTAAGGATTTTAAGGATTTTTAAAATTTTAAATGGGCCTGCCTCTTTCTGGAAAATTATTTAATTTTCTTTCAAAATTTTAAGGATTTTAAGGATTTTAAGAAATTTAAAAGGCCTTAAATTCCTTAAAATCCTTAAAATTTTGAAAGGCCCGGGCTTTCAAAATTTTAAGGATTTTAAGGATTTTAAGGGTTTTTAAAATTTTAAATGGGCCTGCCTCTTTCCGGAAAATGATTTAATTTTCTTTCAAAATTTTAAGGATTTTAAGGATTTTAAGAAATTTAAAAGGCCTTAAATTCCTTAAAATCCTTAAAATTTTGAAAGGCCCGGGCTTTCAAAATTTTAAGGCTTTTAAGATTTTAAGGATTTTCAAAATTTTAAATGGGCCTGCCTCTTTCCGGAAAATAATTTAATTTTCTTTCAAAATTTTAAGGATTTGAAGGATTTTAAGAAATTTAAAAGGCCTTAAATTCCGTAAAATCCTTAAAATTTTGAAAGGTCCGGGCTTTCAAAACTGTAAGGATTTTAAGGATTTTTAAAATTTTAAATGGGCCTGCCTCTTTCCGGAAAATAATTTAATTTTCTTTCAAAATTTTAAGGATTTTAAGGATTTTAAGAAATTTAAAAGGCCTTAAATTCCTTAAAATCCTTAAAATTTTAAAAGGCCCGGGCTTTCAAAATTTTAAGGATTTTAAGGATTTTAAGGATTTTAAGGATTTTTAAAATTTTAAATGGGCCTGCCTCTTTCTGGAAAATGATTTAATTTTCTTTCAAAATTTTAAGGATTTTAAGGATTTTAAGAAATTTAAAAGGCCTTAAATTCCTTAAAATCCTTAAAATTTTGAAAGGTCCGGGCTTTCAAAATTTTAGGATTTTAAGGATTTTAAGGATTTTTAAAATTTTAAATGGGCCTGCCTCTTTCCGGAAAATAATTTAATTTTCTTTCAAAATTTTCAGGATTTTAAGGATTTTAAGAAATTTAAAAGGCCTGAAATTCCTTAAATCCTTAAAATTTTAAAAGGCCCGGGCTTTCAAAATTTTAAGGATTTTAAGGGTTTTAAGGATTTTAAAATTTTTAAATGGGCCTGCCTCTTTCCGGAAAATAATTTAATTTTCTTTCAAAATTTTAAGGATTTTAAGGATTTTAAGAAATTTAAAAGACCTTAAATTCCTTAAAATCCTTAAAATTTTGAAAGGTCCGGGCTTTCAAAACTTTAAGGATTTTAAGGATTTTAAGGATTTTTAAAATTTTAAATGGGCCTGCCTCTTTCCGGAAAATAATTTAATTTTCTTTCAAAATTTTAAGGATTTTAAGGATTTTAAGAAATTTAAAAGGCCTTAAATTCCTTAAAATCCTTAAAATTTTGAAAGGTCCGGGCTTTCAAAACTTTAAGGATTTTAAGGATTTTTAAAATTTTAAATGGGCCTGCCTCTTTCCGGAAAATAATTTAATTTTCTTTCAAGATTTTAAGGATTTTAAGGATTTTAAGAAATTTAAAATGCCTTAAATTCCTTAAAATCCTTAAAAAAAAATTAAAAGGCCCGGGCTTTCAAAATTTTAAGGATTTTAAGGATTTTAAGGATTTTTAAAATTTTAAATGGGCCTGCCTCTTTCTGGAAAATGATTTAATTTTCTTTCAAAATTTAAGGATTTTAAGGATTTTAAGAATTTAAAAGGCCTTAAATTCCTTAAAATCCTTAAAAAAATTTTGAAAGGTCCGGGCTTTCAAAATTTTAAGGATTTTGTGGTCCTTTTAAAATTTTGGAAAACCCCTAAATTCCTTAAAATCCTTAAAATTTTGGAAGGCGAAGCAGGACCGTCAAATAACGCATAAAGGTCCTACATACATATATATATATATGGGTTTTAGCTTGGGGTTGAGGGTTTTGGGGGACTTCGGGCTTCTTACAAGCCCAGGGGCTCATGTAGAGGCCATGGTGGTGATACAGCATGGACGTGACGCCATCGAAGCGGAAACCGTCGCAGTTGTACTCCTTTTGAAGATTGAAGGGCTCCCAACAGCCCTAAACCCTAGACCCTAAACCCTATAAACCCTAAAAACACTAGACCCTTTCCCTAAAACCTAACCCTAGACACTAAACCCTAAACCCTAGACACTCAACCCTAAACCCCTCGACCCCTGAAACCCCAACATCTAAAAGCGCTAGCGCGCCGCCTGCACTTGCCGAGCCTGGTCCGAGCTCGTATACCCTACGGGGGCTGGCTACTTATACCCTGTGTATACTACTCGAGTAATCGACTCGAATCACGGATCTCACACCCTTTTAGATAAGGGTTCCCTAAACCCTAAACCCTAAACCCTAAACCCTGATTCAGTCCCTTCTGAACAAGAACAGGTAGAGCGTCCGAGAATGGGTCTACGGGAAGCCAGATCAATCCAGCGGTTCCCTTGGCACCTTTCTCCCCTCCGTCTAAACCCTAAACCCTAAACCCTAAACCCTAAACGCTATACCCTAAACCCTAAACCCTTAACCCTTAACCCCTGAACACTGAACCCCTAAACCCCAAAGGTTTACGGTTTAGAGGGGTTAAGGTTTAGGGGCGTATAAGGTAAACACTAAAACCCCAGGATGGCCCTTGAAACCCTCTGAAAAATATTCCTGAATATGGTCCTCTAGGGTTTAGGGTTTAGGGTTTAGGGTTTAGGGTTTCGGGCTACATCCCAAGGGCCTCCCGAGAACCCCATGCTCAATCCTTGCGCCCGACCTTCTTTAAGGACTGGACCTGGGGCGTCCTCTTGATTCCCGGGACTCTATTTACGTACGGTTTAGTAGTAGCCACCCTTAGTTAGTAGGTAGAACACTTAAAACCCATAAAACCCCTAAACCCTAAACCCTAAATCCAAGGTAAAGAGGGTCCCAGGCCTACTTTACAGAACTTACCTACTCAGCACCTTGGTAGCCCAGAAGCCATATTCCAATAAGGGCACCCTTTTTCGGGGGTTGGTTACAACGGTTGGTTGCTTTATAAGGGAGCCTTGAATTTAGGATTAAAAGGGTGCCCTTTTTGCTTCAAGGGGTTCATAAGGGAACCTGAGCCCCAAAAAAAGAGGGGACAAGGGCACTACTGGGCATCCTGGTTCTAAAAGGTCTTTTCAACCTAGTTGGGATGTGAAGGAGTAAATGACAACCTCAACTCGGGAGGTTCATTCAAGCCCCAGACCTAATCACTAATCATGATACCTCTAAGGACGTAGTTTCCTTATTGGGCGTAGGGTTTAGGGTGAATAACCTACACCCCAATACATTTTCAGGAATAGCTAGTGCCCCAAAAGGGTAGGCCCGCTCAACACTCCTCCAGCCACCAGCGAAGGTTGGAGAGCAAGTACCTCTGCGGATTCCGTGTCAAAGCCCTAAACCCTAAACCCTAAACCCTAAACCCTAAACTCTAAACCCAGGGGTTACATAGGGGAATAAGATTTAAGGGTCCCTTCTAGCGGTCTCTCCTTACGATACCTCTGAAGCGAAAGCTTGGAGCGCCCCGAAACCTCAAACCCGAAACCTTGAATTCCTGTTGAAGCCGAGGGACTTAAGAGCTTAAGGGTTTAGGGTTTAGGGTTTAGGGCGTAGGTTTTTAGGGCGCAGAACTATAAAAGCCTGGCGCCCAGGTCAGAATCTCCTTCGACATACTCAGGGGCCCCTCGGAATCACGACTTGAACACTCTAAGGACTCTGACTCTTATTTCAACTTACTTTTCTTCTTTTGGTTTTATTGTGTTTGGCTGCTTTTTTGCGGGGAGGGGGGGCCCCTTACACCATCCTGGGTTTAGGGTTTAGGGTTTAGGGTTTAGGGTTTAGGGTTTAGGGTTTAGGGTTTAGGGTTTAGGGGTTAGTTTCCACGGACTTGAAGATCCAGCTAGGTCCCTGAAACACTGAAGTCCAGGGCCTGACAACCTCAACCCCTGGGAGGGCTGTTTAGGGTTTAGGGTTTAGGGTTTAGGGTTTAGGGTTTAGGGTTTAGGGTGTAGGGTTTAGGAGTTTGGGGCTTATAGAGGGTTGGGGTGCCTTGTGGGGCAATAGAACTGCAATAGGGGAGTTCTGGGCTGTGAAGGTTCAAAGCTGATGGGGTTTGTCACTCTGGGGCTTCGGTTTGCTATAGGGTTTAGGGTTTAGGGTTTAGGGTTTAGGGTTGTAAAAAGGTGTTGGGTTGAGCCGATAAAACCTAAAAGCTCTACATGGGCCTAGTGCCCAAAACCCCTCAAGCCACTGAAGCCCTCGCACCGGGAACGCCCACAGCCGAAATCCCTTTAAACCCTACTCCCTAAAATCCCCCTGAACCCTAAAATCCCCCTAAACCCTAAAGCCTACAAACCCCCCCAAACCCTACAATCCCCCAAAACCCTAAAGACCCCCTGAACCCTAAGCGCCAAACCCGAAGGCCGAGACCCTAAAGGCCCACACCCTATAAACAGCCTAGAACCGCAGAATCCCTAAACCAATCAAAGTACACCCTAAGCCACTGTTGGCTTCAGAACCCCCCCCCCCCACACAAAAAAAAAACAAGAGTAGTAACCCTAAACCCTAAACCCTACACCCTACACCCTAAACCCTAAACCCTAAACCCGAAAGCCCTGAAAGCCCTGGGAGCCCTGAGAGCTGGCCTGAGAACCTCGTAGTTCTTGTAGCAATACAAGCCTCAGCTGCTTTCTGTTCATGTTCGCCTTCTCCGGACTTCCATCCCTCCCCCCCCCCGCCCCGCCCCAATTTGGGGGTTTAGGGTTTGGGGTTTAGGCTTTAAAAAAAAATATATATTTGTTGATCTGGAGTCGCCAAGGCGAGTGGAATCACCACCAGAGTTTAGGGTTTAGTGTTCAGGGTTGAAGTGTTCACTTGGTCAGTTCTCGAGAAAGTGGTCCTTTCTGGGGATCATCGAGACCTGCCACGCGCGTACAACGCACTGTGAATGGTATGGCCTCGCCCTGGGTGCTCTGGGAAGGCACAATGATGAGGCCCATCCGCAAGAGAAAGGTGATGTCGGCATGGCCGGAGCCCACTTGATACCCCGCCGTCCGCAACATCGAACCCTGGCAAGTCCTTTGTACGCTTCATGAGCGCAAGCGATCCGCGGTACTCAGGGTTTTCGAGACAACCGAACATCGACGTTACCATGCCGGCTATTTGCGCCTCAGTTTGACTTGAACCCCTTCATTTGCTTTGAGGGAGGTCACCTTTTTATCTCCAGATCCCAATGCCTTTGCTTGATGACTCATTGCATTAAGGGATGCATTTGAGACTCCTAGGGTACGGGGCACCTCTAGAAAGTTTCTGCAACCATGAAAACCAGCAACAAATCGAGGGCGCCTAAGTTGAAATACAAAAGGGCAGCAAAAGACATTATTTAGGGTACCCCAACCAAGGGGCCATCATGTTGAGAACTGACCATCTAGGCTTCTCCGGAACTCCCCCCCCCACATTTGGGGTTTAGGGTTTAGGGTTTAGGGCTTACGGCCAAGAATCGATGACCTAAAGTACTTGGTAGAGATTGGCTCTGTCAAGCCCAAACCCCACAGGTCGAGGCAGGGTTCTTGGGCTGAGGCATGAAGGTGGTAGTACTGAACCTACCTGAGGGTTTAGGGTTTAGGGTTTAGGGTTGAGGATCGACCACCTCACCACACTGCAGCTCCGCACCTAGGGTGCCTGTGAGACACACTGAAACCCAAGACCCCAAGCCAAAGCAGCCCCGGAAAGCCATGGATCCTAAATCCTAACCCCCAAACCCCTAACCCCCAAACCCCACACCCTAAACCCCAAACCCACAACCGTAAACCCCAAACCTGCCAGCAGGCGTGAGTCCCAGAGCTTGTGGTAGCCACGCTCCCCAGTCATGAAGTATCTGAAGTGTGGGGCACAGGGTTTGCAGTGGACGGTTTGGGAACCCCAAACCCTAAACCCTAAACCCTAAACCCTAAACCCTAAACCCTAAACCCTAAACCCCTAACTGCCTAAACTTCAAGCTCTCAAGGATGAGGGGGAGTGAAGCTTCAGGGTGTAGGCCTCAGTGCCCCGACCACCAGAATCCCGCCTTGCTTTGAGGCTTCGGAAATAAGGGCTTAGGGTTTAGGGTTTAGGGTCTAGGGTCCAGGGTTTAGGGCTTAGAGGGCTTTGGGATTCGGGTCCCTAGGGGTTTAGGGCTTAGGGTTTAGTGTTCAGGGTTTAGCAATAAGGATTTAGGGTTTAGGGATCAGGGTTTCAAGTTTAGGGTCTGGTCAGGGTGTGCTTTGCTGGCGTGGAACTCCTTTGTGTAAGCATCAGCGTTAGGCTCAGCCTCTAAGCCCCAACAGGGTTTAGGGTTTAGGGTTTCGGGTTTAGACCCTAAATCCTGAACCCTGAAAGCCCCCAAAAAAGCTGAACGCCACAGAAAGCCTAAACACCCTGAACCTAAACCCTTCCCTTCCCCCAACACGCCCCTTGAAACAACATTATGTGTTTAATATTCCTTTAACCTTGATGAACAAAACTGAAGAAGAATCCCATAGGGGACGGCAGGTTAGGTTGGAACCTATATGAAAGTTTGAGGGAGGGGATTAGGGTTTAGGGCTTGGGGTTGAGGGTTTCGGGTTTAAGGTTTAGGGTTTAGGGTTTGGGGTTCGAGGTTTACACAACTCTGAGTCATGAGCATGGAGGCGAGGCGTGCCCACCAGTGCGCGGACCAGCCACCCCCGAATTGGTTCACGAGGTAAACGAAGAACTCTTCGTTCCGCTGGAACACGGCGAAGCCAATGTCATCCCGGCGCGTCCGAATTGATGTGTGCGCGCCTTTCACATCCACTGGTGCGCGCGCGCTCGGGCTCCTCCCTTGCCCCAGCCCCATCCCTAAACCCCAGACCGCAAAACCTCTAAACAACCCAGAACCCGAAACCCTGAGCCGTAGGCCCGAAACCCTAAAGACTGAGCCAAAATCCGACAGCCCTAAACCCTTTAAACCCGAAGCCCCAAGCCCTAAACCCCAATATCCCTAAACCCTAAACCCCCAAGCCTATAAACCCGAAGCCCCAAGCCCTAAATCCTAAAATCCCTAAACCCTTAGTCCCGAAACCCCTCGACCCTGTTCGAGGTATCAGTGTGGTCGCAGTCCCAGTGTCGTTAAACCCTAAGCCCAAACCCGCCAACGCCAACTGCAGCCCCTCTCGTCCCCTTTAACCTTTCTTTTTGCCCTAAACCCTAAACCCTAAACCCGAAACCCTAAACCCTAAACCCTTTCACCCTGAACCCTTTTAACTTTACCCTAATTAATTTATCAACCCCTAAACCCTAAACCCTAAACCCTAAACCCGTGTGGGACCCTATTGCAGCTGGGGGTCTTTAATGGAAACTGCTCCCTAGGCAAGCCTTGAACCCGAACCCCTCAGCCTCAAAAAAAACCCTAAACCCTAAACCTTAAACCCCTATGCCCTAGCTCGAGGAACCATACTACCCTCGGGGCTTCCTGGGAATTTGTGGTCTTTAGGGTGTTTCGGGTTTCGGGTTTAGCATCAGAGCTTAGGGCAGTTTAGGTTCAGGGTTTAGGGTTTAGGGTTTAGGGTTAAGGGTTTAGGGTTAAGGGGAATTCCCTAAACCCTAAACCCTAAACCCTATACCCTATACCCTAAACCCGCAAGTTCGGGGACTCCGATGCCCTCGGCTGCCAAGGCACGATTCGCCCTCCGGTTGGCCAAAGTCCATGCCTTGTTTTGAGTCTAACTTTTTGCAGGGTTTAGGGTTTAGGGTTTAGGGTTTAGGGTTTAGGGTTTAATTAGGGTTTAGCATGACGGTTTAGGGTTTAGGGCGAGGACTAGGGCTTCGGGTGTCAGGGTTGTTTTGCAAAAGGGCTTAGGGTTGCGGAATTTTGCATTGGGGCTTGTAACGGGGGGTTTAGGATTTGGGGTTTGTAAAGGCACGGCACGACAATGCTATGCCGTCCTCGTGGCTGCAGGTCTTCAAGCGTTAGGCCTACTTTCATCCTACACCCTATAAACCCTGTCAACCCTATAAACATGGGGAAAAAACACAGACCCTGAACCCAATAAACCCCTAAACCCTAAACCCTATACACCCTAAACAAACAAACGCCCCAGGGAATGTGGCTGACCTTGCGCAGACATCAGGATTCTGTCGTCTCTCACCTCTAAAAGCCTAAACCCTAAACCCTGAACCTCAACCTTAAACCCTAGCCCTAAGCCCTAAACCCAAAACCAAAACCCTAAACTCTAAACCCTAAACCCCGAACCCAGAACCCTGAACCCTCATCGGAAAGCAGGGGCGAAATCTCCACAAAGCCAGGAAGCCGTTGAGCCCGTCATCCGCGTTGCTCGAAACGTGAGAATGGACGAGATCAATGAGCCTTGGGTCGAAGCTTTGACGTTTGCGGGCTTAGGGTTTGGGCTTTAGGGTTTTTGTGGTTGAGGGCTTAGATCTTGGCACAACACGCGATACATGGTGTTAGCCTGAAGAGACACGCTGCCCCCCGCCTCCCCCCCAACTTACTTCTCTCAGACACCAAGAAACGAGGCTTAAGCTTGCAGAGCTTGCACGAAACCATAAAATAAGAGACCACAGCTTCAGCACCCGGAGCTGGAGAAGTAAGAGCCCCTGAATGGCCCATAGGGGTAGCGGCAGTCCCTGAGGCAAAAAAAGCACTCAACATGAGGATCATGAAAGAAGTTGGGCACAGCCCTTAGAAGCTTAGGCTTAGTTGCCCAATATCCTGGCTTGAAAAAACAAACTTTTCTTTTAGTAGAGGTTTAGTATACCCAAAAGTTTAAACTTCACCTATTGGGCTCCTAAGTAGGGGCCCAGGGTCTGAACTAGCTACGCCTACTTCTGGGGGCGGCGCCTGAACCGAACAAACATATAACGCTCCTACGGGAGGAGCTCGCGAACAAGCTAGTCCTACTTGTGAGGGCCCATAAAGTATACCCGAAAGCGAAGATTTAATGCCAACGCCTACAGTCCAAACCTTAGAGGTGCTTCAATGCTGCCGCACGGCACAAGCATGCCAAGGCGGTGTGCCTCTTCCACCAAAGCCTCAGCGCACACTTCGTTAGACGCGGATCCAAGCCTGGGATTCATACTTAAAGGGCTCAGGGCTCATGGCTGAAAGGGACCCTAATCGCCAAACCGTAGACCCTAAATCCTGAACCACTGGGCGTCTGCAGGGACTAGGTTCAGAGGAAGGCCCCCCCACCCACTAAACCGAAAGCCGAAAAGCCCTAAAAAACACCAAAGCCCCCAAAAGCACCTAGTAAAACCCCCCAAGCCCCGTAAGTCTTCCCTTCAAAAAAACCAACAACAAAGCCCTAAAACCCCGAAAGCCCTGTAAATCTCCCCGTCAAAAACAGCAACAATAGCGCCCTAAAAGGCAGGGGCTTCCCCCACCCCCCCCCCCCGCCTTGAACTCGTCTGGCGTACCGGAACGCGAAGACACAGCGAAGGGTGAGGTGACGTGGTAGCCAAAGGAGCCTCATGTGGGCTTTCATACAATAGGCCTTACGGTTTAGGGTTTACCCTTTTGGGGGATCGGGGGGGGGGGGGGGGGTCCCTTTAAGGGGATTCTATTTCTATGTGGGGTACAGGAGGGGCTTAAGGGCCTTGAGGGCTTTAGAGTTTTGGGTTTCGGGGTTCAGGGTTCAGGGATCTGATCTGGACCCTCAAGCCTAAACCCTCAACCCTAAACCCTAAACCCTCAACCCTAAACCCTTGCTGGCTGGAAGCCGTAGTAGGAGTGCTCCATGATGGCCATCAGTTGCACCTCGGGGTTGAGTTCAAGGGCTGCTAGGGTCTAGGGTTCTAGGGTTTAGGGTTTTAGGGTTTAGGGTTTTGGGTTTGGGTTCTAGGGTTCTAGGGTTCTAGGGTTTTAGGGTTTTAGGGTTTTAGGGTTTTAGGGTTTTAGGGTTTTAGGGTTTTAGGGTTTAGGGTTTAGGGTTTTAGGGCTAAAGTTTCTTATCTGGTGATATGGGTCGTAGGAATTGCGGTTTTAGGGCTTAGGGGCTCTTCTGTTATGGAGCTGTATAGGAGTTGGGCGGAGGGCAGGGGGCCTAAATTAGGCCTTGTTTGAAAAGCCAATATGTTCTACTGCCTAGCACATGCCCGAACATGCTTGAAGACTAAATGCTTTATAGGCTATAGGCCACACATGTGCTGACAACTCCCTACCTCCCCGCGTCTGAGGATTCATCACATGGCGCCCACGGCGGCCACACCACAGAAAGGGTTTCGGGTTCAGGGTTCAGGGCTTAGGGAGGTTGTAGTGGTTAGTTTTAAGATTTGTCCAACCTGGTGGGTGGCAGACATGCCAGGGTCTAGGTATTTGTTTTAAGAATTTAGTCTCAAGGGCGTCAGGTTTGCGACATTGGACGCTTCGTCCCCCCACCCCTGGGACCTCAATGTTGACCAACCTGAACGTCTCCGGCCCAGGCGCACAATTGTAGCCAGCCTCCTTGATGCGCGGCAGCACATCGCGGGCGAACTCCAAGTAGCTGTTGCATTTGGGCTCCGTGGAGGACATCCCCACATGTGCCTCGTAGATGCCTCGGCGGAACGCTTGTGTGTCCCGTTCTCTTACGGAGGCTGGGCAGCTATATAGGGTGCGCCAAGAATTGAACGGAACTTAGGGGACTGCCCACTTGCGCTGTGTTGGATGGCCCTTAAACCCTCTGAATCCTCTGAAAAAAAGTCCTAAACACGATCCTCTTAAACCCACTAAGAGAAAATAACAAGTATCCCAATGGCCTACCTAGTGGAGAACTGGGTCCCCTATGATGCTGTGCTTGCTTTCGGGATAACCTTGTGTTTGCTTTCGGGTTTCAGGTCTGCTTCTTGGCGCTTACTTGGGTACAGGGCTTCCTTCCAGGCCAGCTACATCCTCTAAGCCCCAAACCCCAAACCCCAAACCCTAAACCCTCAACCCCAAACCCCAAACCCCAAACCCTAAACGTCCCAACCGGGGCCCCCAAGATACGGAGGGAGCTCGGCAAGGCGGGCCGCGCCGCCTGAAAGCCTGTTTTGACAGCGTTTACTTGGAGGTTCATGGTACCTATTAAACCCATTATATCTGCACTAGGGTTTAGGGTTTATAGGGTTTAGGGCTTAGGGTTTAGGGTTCAGGGTTTAGGGTCTATTATAACAGTACTTATGGCCCACTTATAAGCCCCTTAAGTGCCCTAATATGGTTATAAGTACAGTTATAGAAGTACAGGTATAATTGGTTAATAAGTACCATGAACCTCCAAGTAGGGTTACGGGTTTGGGGGGTCTCGGGGTTGACGGTACCGGGTTTAATTTTTGGGGTTCTCGCAGATGTACAGCCCCCAAGACTGGGAGGGCGACTGATTGTCACGACAGAGCAAAGTTGGGGTGGTCGCATTCTGCATCAGACTCTCTCTTCTCATGGCTTTGCTTCAAGATGGGTTTACCCGAAGGATTTATGTGCCTACATAGTATATACTTGGGCCCTCAAGCTAGTATAATATAGAAACCCCCCCCCCCCCCCCCAAGGCCTAAGTGGATACTATATAGGTACATGGATCCTTAGGGTTCTGGTTTAGGGCTTCGGGCGCTTAAGGTTTAAGGCTCAAGGAACGACTTGCCTAAACCCTAACCCTAAACCCTAAACCCTAAACTCCAAACCCTAAGCCCTAAGCCCTAAGCCCTAAGCCCTAAACCCTAAACCCTAAACCCTAAACCCTAAACCCTAAACCCGTACAACATCGTCCGGGTCCGGCCTTCGAAGCAGTAGTCGTCCTGCCCGGCCTCTACGGCAACCACACAAGCGACTGAGACACCCTTTAGGGTTTAGGGTTTAGGGTTTAGGGTTTAGGGTTTAGGGTTTTGGGTTTTGGGTTTAGAACCCTGAACCCTAAATCCTTCCCAGACCGAAATTTCGAAAGCACGAACTGTCACAAACAAATCCTAAGCCCTAGAACCATGGCCACCCTAATCCCGCCATGAAAACACTCTTGAAAAGGATTCTCAAACTCTGTATCGGAAAACAACAAGCAGCTGTAAATCCAAGGCTAAGCCAGGCTAAGCCGTGTAAACCGTAGACCCGCAACAAGTGCCCCAAGGAGCCATAATATACGAACTCTCTTTGTAGTGAGGAGTAACGAGGGCTGTGTTGAAATTATTCGCTTGTGTGGCTAAGTGTGTTGAGCCTTCGTAACCAAAGTCAAAAGGGCGCCCCTTGTTCGTCAGGATTCCGGGTTCACATTGCGGCTCAGTTTTGTCTGTGCAATGGCTGAACCTGGTTGCAAACCATCCCCCCCTCTGCACAAGCTGCCGGCAACGTTTCTGCCTATGTAGTCATCAGGCTTCCATGTTTGGTAAATGTAAAAAGATACCCCAAAACCTACAAAAAGGGCATTTGTTTTGCATATTGGGGGGGGGTTAAGATTTACGTAGGCTTGATTGAAGGAGCATGTGGTACAGATTCTGACATGGTTCTGGCCTCTAGGGATGTGAGGATTATAGGCTTCATGGTTGAGCCATTGAGTTAAAAGGCGCTTAAGATTTACAGGTTTAGGTTTCGGGTAACTAAGCGGGTGCGTCATGGCCCTAAGATTCTCAGACCCTGAGAGCACTAGCTCAGGGGCCCAGTGATTTTCAGCATCTGCCCATTTTTTGATTGGTTACTTTAGAAGAGAACCTTGAACCAAAAAAAATAAAAAGGGCACCACTGGGCTTTCAAGCTATTTGGGGTTTCCTGATGCTTCTGGGGTTTGAGGTCCGAACAATAACGCCAAACTTCGAAGCAAAAACTGCACGCGGCCCTCGCTCCTGCGACGGGTCCCAGTAGTAGCCGTCGTACGTCGAGCCGAACTTTCCTGGTGCGCCCTAAATCTTAGAGAACTGGAACCCGAAAACTGTAAACCATTGAACGTGAATCCTGAAGCCCTAAGTGGCCCTAAGTGGCCCTAAGCCTGAAAAAAAAAAAAACAACTGAACCCTATGAAACCCTAAACCCTGAGTACGTAGCCCTCTTAAACCCTAAACCTTCAACCCTAGCCCCTGGTCTAGTCAGGGTTTAGGGTTTAGTTTTGAGGATCCACATACCTTTATGTTCAGCCAGTTTGGGGCCCTTGGGCCGTGGTCGTTCGACAGATAGCCTGTGGCTCCTCTGTACAGCCAGTTTAACCCCAGGTCTAGGCAGGAGGCGGTAGAAGTTGCAGTAGAGAGCTAGCTCCCAGAACCCTAAACCCTAAACCCTAAACCCTAATCCCTAAACCCCAGAAAGATGTTACCCTTACTCAACTGTATGAGGCCAACAAGTGAAGAAGCAAAAGAGCGCTGACTTGAAGAAGCGGCCTACACAATGAAAGCTAGGGGAAAATGAGGAGTGGAAGGGTTGAAGGCATAAAGTAAAGTCGCCGGGGACGTCCGGGCCTTGCCGGTGCTCACAAGCTGAGCGTTCTTTCGGGTTTAGGGTTTAGGGTTTAAGGTTGAGTGGTCAAAGAGGCGATATGGTCAGTTCTCAAAATGATGGTCGGTTTTTGGGCACCCTGAATAATAGGGGCCGCCTGATACTAACCTCAAAAGGGAGCATATTGTAGAGAGCTGACCATAATGTTACATTGCAAACCCTGTAATCCCCAAACCCGTACCCTAAAGAACCCGAAAGCCTAAACCCGAAACGGTAAACTTTAAGTCCTACTGAACCCAAAACTCGAAACCCCCAACCCTAAGCCCGAAACAGCCCTAAAACCCGAACCCGAAACCCTGAACCCCAAATGCTGCTGAACTCTAAGCCCGAAACCCTAATACTAAAACCCTAAACCCCAAACCCTTAGACCCTCAAGCGCCCTAAACCCTAAACCCCTAAACCCCAAACCCTAAACCCTAATGTGCCCTCAACACTTGCACAGACTGCCCGCCTAAGTCCGGACACGACCAGCGGATCCACGCAGGCACCTCTGGCTGTATTTGAAGGGAAGGAAGCAAGGGGGTTTAGGGTTTAGGGCTTAGGGTTTAGGGCTGGGGGTTTAGGGTTTAGGGTTTAGGGTTTAGGGTTTAGGGTTTAGGGTTTAGGGTTTAGGGTTTAGGGTTTAGGGTTTAGCGTTCAGGGTTTAGCGTTCAGGGTGTAGGGTTTGTAGGGTTCAGGATGGTTCAGGTTCTGTGCCACACTCCCGAACACCCGTGAGATCCCCCGGAAAGCCTAAAACTTAGGGCTCTTCCCTAAGGCTCCAAATAGCCCCCAAAGTAGGTAGGATTTACAGACGTTAGACCCCAACGTAGGTATTATTAGTATACTTGGAGCCTTAGGGCTCTTGGGCTTGGGCTTACATTCGTGCATGGGTGTGTTGTTTTGTTTTTTTTTGGGGGGGGGAGTGATCTGATTCACAGGCCGTTGCGCGAAAATCTGGGGAGTATTTTGCTACTATAGTTGAGGCAATGCCTACACGACTTTCACCAAGCCCAAGCAACTATGCTTGGGGGAAGGGTTGAGGGTTTAGGGTGGAGAGTTTCGGTTTTTTAGGGTTTAGGGTTTAGGGTTTAAGGTTTAGGGGCTCTCTTGGTAACGACTTTTCAGATGGCCGCGACGGACGGCTTACCACCTGCGACTTCTCAGCCTGCTCAGAGGCTGGACGGCCAACATGTGCGGGTCTGCGAAGAGAAGGACTTCGAAGACGAAGCTGCTTCCGGTAAACTAGGCGAAGAAGAAGCGAGCGCAGCTGGGAACCTTCGTTGAACTCTCCAGAAGTTCTCTTCTCCAACCTTGGAAAGGCCGGAACCCGCGAGAACCTGTGGATTGCCCAACTGAGAGAGGTGAGGTGTAGGGTTTAGGGTTTAGGGTTTAGGGCTTAGGGCTTAGGGCTTAGGGCTTAGGGCTTAGGGCTTAGGGCTTAGGGCTTAGGGTTTAGGGTTTAGGGTTTTGGGTTTGAGGTTTAGGGCTTTCGGCCTCAAATCTGCCCTTGGGTGAGCACCTTCGGACCGACAACTCGGATGGAACATGTGGTCCGTCGAGGTAAGCACTGGATATGCTGATCGACGCAGTATACTTGGAGGTTCATGGTACTTACTAACCAGTTATAACTGTACTTACTAACCCCACTTATAATACCCCTAAAGGGCCTTTTAGGGTTATTAAGCTCCATGAACCTCCAAGTACCCCCGAAACCCCCAACGCCCTAACTATCAAATCCCTAAACGGGGGAAGAGGACTAAAACCCTAGCTGCCCCAAACCCTAAACCCTAAACCCCTCAAACCCCCCCCAACTACCAAAAAGCCCAGACAAACAAAGAGATCTGATGGCCCAAGGCACGCGATGGACCGTGGAGCCTAAGCATCTGGAGAGGTCAATGGCTGAGGGTTTAAAGCTTTGGGGTTTAGGGTTTAGGATTGGATTATCAAAGCAATAAACCCTCAAATGAGCCTTACTGGCTTTCGGGGAACCACCCCCCCCCCCCCCCCAATTCCCCCCGAGACAAAAAAGGTCAAAGGCAGACACAACCCTAAACCGAAACCCTAGGCAACCCTAAACCCTTCAAACCCTGAACCCTCAACCCTATAAACTCTAAACCCCCAAGCTAGAAGCGCACTCTTGTCATCCCAGGGTGCTTTGATAGGGAATATATACTTGGGACCTCCAGGTTACGGAAACTTGAAGAGGGTCTAGGGTTTAGGGGTTTAGGGTGTAGGGTTTAGGGGTTTAGAGTTCAGGGTTTGGGGTTTAGCAGGTTTTTCCTGATTTGTCTGTAGTACCCTCAAGAAGACACCCCGTGTATGCACCCACCAAAGCGTCATCTACACCCACCAGTAGCAAGGCAAGAAAAGCCTTCCGCCTCACAAAAGTCTCCTAGGCTGGCCTTCGACGCTTAAAGGGTTCAGGTTTGTAGGGTTTAGGCTTTGGTCAAAAGATCCCCTGAACCTCTTGGGTACTAGCCTTTCAGGGTTTCAGGGCTTCCGGCCTCCTTCCGGTCTCAGCGTTTCAGGATTCAGGGTTGACCCTCCTAATCCCTAACTCCTAGTGAGCCTAAACCCTGAAGAGGCACCGTCGTGCTTGGTGGCGCAGAACTTGACCCTCGTGCGGTGGGCGATGGCCTTCGCTGGCAGCGTGACCTCAGGGAAAACCGACCGTGGCCCCCTGTTTGAAAGCTTTACTTGGAGGTTCATGGTACTTACTAGCCAGTTATAACTGTACTTATAACCCCACTTATAATACCCCTAAAGGGCCTTATAGGGGTTATCCCTATTATGAGTAGGGTGATAAGCCCAGTTATAAGTGGTTATTAAGTCCCATGAACCTCCAAGTAGGGTTTGGGCTAGGGAGACCGTGGCCCGGTTTTTGAAGCTTTAGGGTTTGGGCTTTCGGGTTTCGGATTTGAGCCTAGACCGTTCTTGGCACCTCTGCAAAACAAGTAGGATGTTGTCATGGTCCCAGAAATAATCGATAAGAATCAGAATGTGTTCTGAAGCCTAAGCCCTAAACCCCAACCCTGGTGTCCACTCTGAAGTAAAAGCATGACGAATCTCCTGAATCCTACAGTCCCCTCACTGAGTCCCAAAATTCAGGATTCCTGGTTTCGGCCCCGAAATCCCAGACCTCAAACGCTACCTGGAGGTTCATGGGTACTTATAACCCCAATTCTAAGTCTACTTATAACCTACTTGGGGGGACTTTGGGGTTTTATAAGTACAGTTTTAGTTAGAGTTATAAGTGCCCATGAACCTCTAAACCCTAAACCCTAAACCCTCAACCCCAAAGCCTAAGACCTAAACATCGAGTTTGGGCCTCCCATGTGCCGAAGGCGTCACGAGCGAGCGGGGTCGCGCCCTGCTTTGGGTATAGGGGTTAGGTTTGGGGTTTAGGGTTTGGGGCTTAGGGTTTAGGGTTGGCGTTGAGTGTTCAGGATTTAGGGGCTTTAGGAATCTAGGGCTTTAGGTTTAGGGTTTGGCGATTTAGGGGTTAGGGCGAGAATTCCCCGAACCCTGAGCCCCAATCCCTCAAGATGCACCCTACATCGCCTCGACTCATTCTTAGGAGCCCAATAGGCCCGATAGGTGAGCTTTAAACTTTTTGGGTATACTAAACCCCTACTAAAAGAAAAGTTTAAACTTTTAAAACCAGTGTATTGGGCAACTAAGGATTCTGCACGCCTGCATCCCTCAACCCTGAAGCCTTAAGCCCTAACCCGGAACCCAAGGCCCGAAATCCTAGACCCCGAAGCACACGGCTTGTGGTTCGGGGTTTAGGGTTGAAGGTTTAGTGGTTGGAATCTCTGATGTTCGTCGTTTTTTGAGGTCTGGAGTTCAAGGCTTTTTTCCGGAATGACTAGGGTCCAGGGTCTCGGGCGTTACAAGGCTGTTTTCAATGGCGCCCCAAATTGGGGACCCATCTCAGCCCTGCATATTGATCCCCCCCCCCCCCCCCCGCCCTTTCCCTAAACCCTAAACCATAAACCATAAAACCCTAAACCTGTTAATCCTGAACCCTAAACCCTAAAACCCCAAAACCCCAAAACCCCAAAACCCCAAAACCCCAAAACCCCAAAACCCCAAAACCCCAAAACCCCAAAACCCCAAAACCCTAAAACCCTAAAACCCTAAAACCCTAAAACCCTATACCCTAAAACCCTAAAACCACAAACCCTAAACCCTCATGAAATGGTCTTGGGCTCTGCGGGCAGAGCCTCGTCCCAGTTGTTGAAGTCCCCGACCAATGACCTGGATGCAGCTGGGTCGGCGGCCCCGAAACCCTGCACCCTAAACCCTAGGCCCTTCTAAGCCCTGAAATTAAGCCCTAAACCCTAACCCTAAACCCTAAACCCTAAACCATGCAAATGTTTCGGGCTTGCGGATTTAAGGGACATTTAAAGCGCTGGGCCCCCTAAACCCCCAGACGCTGGGCCCTAAGCATCAGGTCATGGAGATTGACGGGGTCGAAACACAAGATTTAGGGGCTTTTGTCTAGGGTTTAGGGTTTGGGTTTTAGGGATTAAGGTTTAGGGGCTTTTGTTGAGGGTTTAGGGTTTTAGGGCTTAAGGTTTGGTGCTTAGGTTTTCGGGTTTAGGGCAACTTAGGGAAGCCCCCCAAATGCGAAGTCACAACTTCAACCCACGAGAGCGGCAAACTAAGCCTCCACCCCCAACCCCTAAACCATGAACCCTAAACCCTAAACCCTAAAACCTAAGCCCTAAACCCTAAACCCCAGGGCAGATTTGAGGCCGAAAGCCCTAAACCCTAAACCCAAAACCCTAAACCCTAAAACCTAAGCCCTAAACCCTAAACTCCCCCAAGCCCTGAGCAATGCCCTGAACATCGTCTCAAAGTTCCTCGAGCCCCAATACCCTAAACCCTAAACCCTATAGACCCTAAACCCTAAACCCTAAACCCCCTACCCCCCCCCCCCCCCCCCAACTCCTGCAAACCCAAGCAACAAATCAGAAAAAAAAAAAAAAAAAAAAAAAAAAAAACGTCTGGGCTCGGCACACGGACTTGGCGGGGGGCAGCCACTCCCGGTAAGTAATGGCTCCAGTCTCCTCAACTCGTCATCTACCTTTTTGTGCTTAAGACCCCCCCCCCCCAAAAAAATATGTATATATATATATATTTATATTTATTTATTTATTTGTAGAATTAATTAATCATCCCTATGCTGCCCTTTTTAGGAGCATTATCTTTTGGTTTTTTGGGCGGTTCTTAAGCAGATAGTAGTCATAAGGGGGCCACACCCAGCGAAGCAGGAATAAGGATACCACTTACGGCCCCATGGAGATTGCTTGGAGCCAGACGATGAAGTAGTTGTGGTGGTAGTGGTAGTGGTGGTAGTAGTAGTCGTCGTATATCTACAAAGCATAGCTTTCGGTACACAAGTCCATCACAACACTCGCGCCCTAACCGCATATGGCCAACATTCAGCTTCAAGCTACCTCTTATCAAACCAACTAAGCCGAAAAAGGCTAAGGATCAAAGGTTAAGAGCCCTAAACCCTAAACCCTAAACCCTAAACCCTAAACCCTAAACCCTAAACCCTAAACCCTAAACCCTAAACCCTAAGAGGGACGTGGACATTCTGAAAAGGGCGAACCCGGCCTCTTGCGGTGTGGGGTTGAGGGTTGACGGGAATCCTAGTGCCCGCACTCCTCGTCCTTCGTGAAGCCAAGCCTGCATATGGACTTCTTGGGGTTTAGGGTGTAGGGTTTAGGGTTTAGGGTTTAGGGTTTAGGGAGGGGGGGGGGGGGGCACTAGGCTCTAGGGCTTCAGGGTGCAGGTAACTTACCTAGGCTTGCGCGTAACAACCCTCTGAAAAATATTCCTGAACATGATCCTCTTAAACCCAACACGGGAAAAATGTAAAATGTCCCAAACTGTCCCCGGGGCCTACCTAGTTACTTCCATTCTTGCGTGCTCTTGTCTGGCTGGTTCTTCGTAGGGCATGAGGGAATTAGGTACCCTATATACTCCCTTAAAGGGTGTGTGTATATATATATATATGCTACCCCCCCCAGCGACCTACCCTTTTTAGGCCTTCATACATATATATATATATATATATATATAGGGCCCTAATTCCCTCACTCCCTGCTAAGGACCAGGGGGTTGTTTGGGGGGGGAGAGTGGTGAAGGCTTAGCTTCTACTTGGAGGTTCATGGGACTTAATAACCACTTATAACTGGGCTTATAACCCTACTTAAAAATTGGGAAAACCCCTATAAGGCCCTTTAGGGGTATTATAAGTAGGGTTAGAAGTACAGTTGTAAGTGGTTAGTAAGTACCATGAACCTTCAAGTAGGCGTCTAGCTTTGTTTTGTTAGCCTGGCCATCCTTTGGATTCACAAGCTGGAAGGGTTTAGGGTTTAGGGTTTAGGGTTTGGGGTTTGGGGTTTAGGGTTTAGGGTTTAGGGATTGGGTTTAGGGTTTAGGATTTAGGGCCTATAGGGTTTAGGGCGTCTTGTGAAGGACCACCTGCGGTAGTTTTTGCCTAAATTCTGGTCACCTGTTCTGTAAGCCTACTTCGGGCGATTTCTCAGGGTGCACGAACAGGGGTCATTGTTTTGGGCGAAAGACCTTTCAACTCCCAAAGTTTCGGGCACCTGTTCGTTATGAAAGGAGCTGCTGCCTTTGCCCTAAACAAAAACCGGACCCTATAAACCCTAAACTGCCCTAAACCCTCATGATTCGCAAAGGAACTTGCGGAAGCCCGACGCGAACTCGGTGAGCGACCCAGCTGTCTCTGTGATATGTTTTCCTGGATTCAGGTGCTGTGGTGAACCCTAACCTTGGATTGGTTTGGGGGTCTTTGAACCTCAGTTCTTCCCATACTCCCAGAACCCCTCTACTATAGCCGTGGTACAGGCAATGGTGTTTAGCGTTTGGTGTCGAGATGAACCCTACACCCTACGTACTGTTTGGGGGGGCATCATGGAGCTTGAGGCTGCGGTGCAGGAGAACACGCCCACGAGCCAATGCCTCCTCTTCTATCTGCCTCTGACTCGTGGCTCACGGTTTATAGCTACCCTTAGAGAGCACGACGGCCTCGCGGATTTAGGGTTTAGGGTGCAAGGCTTAGGATATAGGGTTGAGGGGTTTTAGGTGTAGAAAGGGGGCTAAACCCTAAACCCTGAACCCCATACCACAAAGAAAGTGAATAAACAAGTCCACTCCAATTTCAAGTATAGTCCAGAAGCCTTGCACTACAGGCATTTCGACCCCTCAATCTGCGAATCAGGGCTTACAGTTTAGGTTTTAGGGTTTAGGGTTTAGGGTTACAGGGTGTAGGGCTTGGGGTTTAGGGTTTAGGATTTAGGGTTTAGGGTTTAGGGTTTAGGGTTTAGGGTTCAGGGGTTTAGGGTTAAGGGGTTCGGGTTCGAAGCTTCGGCAGCCAAGCTGCGGAGGTCGCTGTACACCTTCCAGCGGTACTCGAAGTGGCCTGCAGGACAGGGGTTGGGGGGATTGCGGGGGTTTAGGGTTTAGGGTTTAGGGTTTAGGGTTTAGGGTTTAGGGTTTAGGGTTTAGGCTTTAGGGTTTAGGCTTTAGGGTTTAGGGTTGAGGGGTTTAGGGTTGAGGGTTGAGGGTTTAGGGGTTTAGGGTTGAGGGTTTATAGGGTTTAGGGTTTAGGGGTTTAGGGGTTTAGGGTTTTAGGGTTTAGGGTGCTTTGGCGTTGGAGCATGAGGTCTTCAGGGCATTCAAGGGTTCAGCGAGTTTTTTTTCAAACTACAGCCGCTTATGAATGCAGGGTCTGGGGTTTAGGGTTTAGGGTTTAGGGCTAGGGTTTGTGATTTTAACATTTAGGGCTTTACGGTTAGGGGCTTCGGGGAGTCAAGGACGACTCGGGTTAGAAAAAGGGCTGCCCCTTCCGGAGCCTAACTCGGAATGCCTTAAACGGGGGGCCTGAGTGTGAACTCTATGAACCCCCAAAAAAACGCCTTAGACCTTAAAACCTTGGAGCCCCTAAACCTCTAAACCCCAAAACAAATCGTGAACTCTAAGCTCTACTACTGGGGGTACCTGACTGGTTCTTCCTTTGGAATGAGGGACTTAGGTACCTCCTAGAGAGACCCATTGAGGGTTTCTAGAAAGGTGCCGAATTCCCTCGTTCCCTAAACCCTAAACCCTACCACTGGGTTTAGGGTTTAGGGTTTAGGAATGTGGCCGTATGGCAGAATCCGGTCATCAGGTTGCCAAAAGGAGGAAGACCTGCTCCGAAAAGGCGAGGACACATACGGGTTCCTTGAAGGTCCGGCGTGCTAGTTGACCAAATCAGCAGCAAAGTTTAGGGTTTAGGGTTTAGGGTTTTGGTATTCGGCTGCAACTGAAGCTGATCCATATTTGGAAGGCAAATCCAATTCCAGCAGACTCCGCTTTCTCACTGGGGAAGCATTCCGCAAATGTGGCACATCAGCTGCATAAGGAAGGACTTGCCCTTTTGCACAAGAAGCCGCGATGTCGGTTGGCTTTGCTGTCGGCGGAAAGAACTCAAACCGTTTTGAGTAATTAACGAAGCAATCAGAGTCGTTCGTTTCCTTGAGGCTCAGTTCTGGGCCTGGAATGTCGCCAACACAGGCAATCATGCGACCACATTTCCGATCAAGACTGGAAGTGAACGCGAAGTCGTCGCCTTTGACGGCAGCAATACATCTTTTCGGCAGGTACTGCCCTTCCGATCCCAAGTTGGCAAGTCAATTGGCGTGTCACAACTTCCTTTAGGATAACTCCTATTTAGGGTTTAGGGTTTAGGGTGCAGGGCTGTCCAGGATGCCGGGCGTTATAGCTTTGGAGCATGAGGTCTTCAGGGCATTCAAGGGTTCAACGCTTTGTTTTGCAACTCCAGCCGCCTATGAATGCAGGGTTTAGGGTTTAAGGGTTCAGGGGCTAGGGGTTAAGGGTGCGTCAGGGGTGGGGGGCGGACTCGGCTTCGCCAAAGAGCTTCCCCTTCCTGAGGGACTTAGGTACCTTGCATCCCCCTATAGAGACCCTTTCGAATTTCTAGAAGGTGCCGAATTCCCTCCTTCCCTAAACCCTAAACCCTAAGCCCTAAACCCCAAACCCTAAACCCTAAACCCTAAACCCTAAACCCTAAACCCCATTCGCTACCAAGAGCCAGGAGTATCGGTTCTCGGGGCGACCTCGGAAAGGGACGCAGCTTGGATCAGCGACAACGAGCCCAAGCCCATCCTCAGCGCTGCTTCGATTGTGTGGTCTAGCCCTCGTTGGCCTTCTTTGGCTTTGGGGTTTGGGGTTTGGGGTTTGGGGTTTGGGGTTTGGGGTTTAGGGTTTAGGGTTTAGGGTTTAGGGTTTAGGGTTTAGGGTTTAGGGCTTCGGACCCGGCTGAGGGTTCTTTTTTCAGGGTGTAAAAGGCCTGACACTTGAACTCCTACACAAACATGTATCTAGTAGACTCCCTCAGAATACTTCTCCCTCAGCCCCAAAAGGGGTATCCCCGAGAATACGTAAGACCTAAAGCCGTAGTAGGGTTTAGGGGTTTAGGGGTTTAGGGTTTAGGGTTTAGGGTTCAGCGGAACACTAAGCCCTAACCGCAGGGGAATGCCGAAGTCCCTTAGCCTTAACATGGGCCCTTCAATGATGACCCCTTGTATGGGTAGAGAGGGTTAGGGAGCTCTACCAGCCCACATGGTAGCAGTGATTCAAAACCCCGAGAACCATAAGGCAGGATCTTTTCGTAAGGATTCGCTTTACATCCTCAACCCAAAACCCTAAATCCTGAATCCTCCAAGAGAGGGTGTAGGGTTCCATCCGTGTATTAAGCTTTGCTTTTTTGGGCTAGGCGTGCGACAAACTAGACCCAAGAGTAACCTCCCAGCAACAAGAATATTTGAAGGGGGCTTGTAAGGGAACCTAAACCCTAAACAACGCAAATGAGGGCCTACCCTGGGTCCTAGAAACCTTCAGCCCCAAACCCTTGAGCAGTACTCCTTCGAACGCACAAAGCCCTTGAAACGCTATACCCTTACAACCCCACACCCTAAAGCCGTTAGACACTCCAACCATGAACCCTTCAACCCTAAGCCGCCTAAACCAGTAAACGATAACCCCGAACCTTCAACCACTGCACACCTTGTCACTGAATAACCCGTATAACCCGTATACCCTTTGATACCTGAGAACCTAAGGCTCCAAGTATGTGTCCTTAATTTGGGTCCCTTGGTATATGAAGTAGAGTATGTATATTTCTTGTATCCCCAAAAGGACACCAAATATTTACACTCACCAATATTGAAAAGGAACCTTACATACACTCACCACAAAACAGTCATATAAACCCTGCTTCATATAACCCTCATATACACTCCATATAACAAGGGCCCGTACTTCTACAAACAAGGGAAAGGGACTCGTAGGGCCCATGGTTCCAACATTAACCCTAAACCCTAAACCTATAACCCTCGGAATAGCCCTAAACCCTAGACCCTATACCCCTAAACCCTAAACCCCTAAACCCTAAAACCCCAAAACCCTCAATAGCCTTCAGAAAAGCCCCTGGCACGGGCCCGAGCGTCCCCGACCACCGGCCGCTCGCGCAGTTGGGGTCGGAACTGGGCGCTGCGGACGTTGCGCTTGTATCCCGGCCTAGGGCTGTGGTTTGGAGTTTGGGGCTGGGGCTTGGGGTTTCGGGTTGAGGGTTTGGGGTTTAGTTTCAAGGGTTCAGGGCTTGTGAGGTTTTCGGGGTTCAAGCGGCTTTCGGCGGGTTTGGGAGAGCTTTAAGGCCTAGGGCTTTTAAGGGATGTTTGGGGGTGTCAAGGGTTTCGGGGATTAGGGTGGCTTAGGGTGTGTCCTGTTCTTGAAGGGCCAGAAAAAGGGGCTGCACCGCGTTGCCTCAAAGGGTGTACCCTAAACCCTCAAAGCTAAATCCAGGAGTTTCGAGGAGCTGAAGGGAGTTTAGCAAAAAAGGATTTTCGGCCTGGGGTGGGGAGTTAAGGGAAGGGGTTTGGCGCTTAGGGTTTCAATTTCAACCATGGTCAGCAACTGTGTGTCCAAATACATGTCCCGTGTGTCCTTTTTGGCACTATTTTGTTGTTCATGCGCCCTCGTTGACTACGACTCGAAGAAAAGGCATGCTTCAGAACATGATACATTCGATTCTGCTATTGTCTGCTTACGATAATCCTTTCGCGTTGCCATAACAATACTCGCTTTGTCAAAAACCTGAAGTGCAGTTTATGTGGGAACAGAACAGACGAATTTCAAAAACAAATCCTAAACCCTAAACCCTAAATCCTAAACCCTAAACCCCAAACCCTAAACCCTAAACCCTAAACCCAATACACCTCTTTCTCAGATGCAGACTGGTTGGGCAGCGGCTCCACGAACACCACCGCAGTCAGAGCCGGGATGACCAGCTCATCCATCGCCTGGCGCGTGGCGTTCTTCTGCCGAGGGTTTAGGGTTTAGGGTTCAGGGTTTAGGGTTGAGGGTTTGGGGTTTGGGGTTGAGGGTTTAGGGTTTAGGGCTGCTTCCCGGCCCTGCGCACATTAAAGGGATCCCTGCGGGAACCGCAAACAGGAAACCCCAAGAATAGCGTCTGAGGGTTTAGGGGTTATAAGGCAATATAAGGGCACTGGTAGGTATGTTACTCAGGACCGTGTGAGGATCCAACAAGTAGATACCTTAAAGGGTTTAGGGTTTAGGGTGTGTCTGGGTATGGGGTTTACAAAATGGTTTTTCAAGGCGCAAAAAAACTTAGCCACATCTTCCTCAAACCCACAAGTATACCTACAGTTTTATGGGTTACACCTTGTAATTAAGGGGTAGTTACTACTAAACCCTAAACCCTAAACCCTAAACCCGAAAGCCTAAAGCCTAAACCCAAAACCCTAAACCCCAAACCCTAAACCCTGAACCCTAAACACTTTACTGTAGGTTATTGTGGTTACAGGCAAGCATTCGCTTCTGGGCCTCGTCCAGCCGAGCCTCGCGCGTGCGAGCATCCGCCGACGATGTCTGGTGAAGGGGGGCAGGACGCCGGGCTAGGGTTTAGGGTTTAGGGTTTAGGGTTTAGGGTTTAGGGTTTAGGGTTTAGGGTTTAGGCTTTAGGGTTTAAGGTTTAGGGTTTAGGGTTTAGAGTTTAGGGTTTAGGGTTCAGGGGTTAGGGTCTAGGGTTTTTGGTGCTTACCTCTAAGGGTCTACTGACTAAGGCCTAAGTACCTGGGTCTAGGAATGTTCTGGCCGCTGCGGTTGGCGATCACTGGCCTTCGGGACTGAAGCTAAGTGGAAAGAGACGTGCTTGGCACAGGGACGGTTGCGAAATTCGAGCATATTTAGGGTTCATGGCTTAGGGCTTAGGAGTACGCAGGGTGCCCTGCTTTGCATTTTGCCGTCGCAAGGGGCCCTAGCGCCAAGGCATGGGCAAAAGGCAAGGGCACTACTGGGCGTCCGAATCTCCAGCATGATCTTAGTTGCTGAGTTCATAAGCCCCAAAAAAGTGCACACGTTCAGTTCTAGAGGGGATTATAGTATCCCAGAAAGCGTAAAGTGTACTCACTCAGCTGCTACGTGATAGCCCGTTTGCCCGAAGCACACGTTCAGAGAGGCAGCTGCCTCCGAACCATGACTCAGAGACTGAATCATTTCCTCAAGTGAACGGCCGCATGACACTACGACAACATACTGTGGATGGACAAAATCTTGCATGACCCCCTACGTTACACTTGTGCGACGGTTGGTAGTCGAACTCCCCACGCCCCTCGAATTTCAATGTTGCGTGCGCGCGCGGGTGATGCAGGATTTCGGTTATTCACACACATGCACTTTCGAAGCATTGCAAGGACAGCAATTTTAAGATTCAGGGTTTGGAAGGGATGACCTGCGTAATACAAGTGATGCAGGATTTCGTCCATCAACAGTCTGGAGACTGGCAAGTTTTCGGAAACTCTGGTCTCTAGTCACATCTGACCAAAGTGAATTGAGGGCCATATGTGAGGGGCCAGGATGGGGGCAGAAAGTCCGGAGTATGGTATTTTTCAAGTTTCAAATTGTTTTCACAGTTTCAAACTAGTTTCAAATTTGTTTCAAAATCCAGTTGCAAAATCGCTGTTAAGGGGGAACTGCAATTTCTGTCCGCGCTTTTGAAAACCAGGAACCTCTGAGATTCCTTCTTTTTTTTGAATTGCGCGTAGAAAAAATACAGTTTCCCCTTAACAGCGATTTTGCAACTGGATTTTGAAACTATTTTGGAACCAATTTGAAACTGCGGAAACGAATTTGAAACTTGAAAAACGCGGCATTTCTGCTCTTTGGCACTTGGCCACACCCGAACAAGAGGAGAGCTTAGTTTGGCTTGAAGCTGCCAAAAGTACATCTCCGACATTCTTCCCAAAAGCCATTCCAGCAACAACTCTCGCCAACAAGTCAGTAAATTATCTTTTCCGAGACAGTATGTAAGCTGGACCGTGTTTTTTAATTGATTTATTCAGGTTCCTGAAGCTAAGAGCCAGCAGAGAAGTGCAGAAGAAAAGCCCAAGCTAGGCACACACTCCAAAAAATTCTGGTTGTGGAGGGTTAGGGTTCTCATGAACTCTAAAACCCTGCACCCATACACATTACAATCCTGAAACCCTGAAACCTTTCGACCCTGAAACCCTCAAACCAGCTAACCCTAAACGCCTCCAGCCCTAACCCTACCTCACGGTTGGGCTAGTAATAAAAAATTGAAGTTCTCTTCCTTATTGAGCTTAAGTACCCTAAACAATGTAAAATGTTACCCCACTATGACAAAAAACCCCTGAGACTTTTCAAGATTTCAGGCCTGCAGCGGATGCAGTATCAGCATGCCACCACTTGGGCTCCTCAGCTTGGATTGACTATTGGGTTTTTCAGGGTTGGGAATGGGATGTTCCCCCTTTATACTAACAGTCCTTCATCGGGATTTTAGTACCCCTATTATAATCCGTGTTGAGGACTGTTAGTACAAGGGGGAACATCCCAAGGCTAGGGTGCACGGTCCCTGGTTATAGCTTGGCATTGGGGCTTGGGGAGGGGGGGAGGGGGGGTTGGGGATTTGTGGGCTTGGGGGGGTTTCGGGTTCAGGTTGGGACGTTCCCCCTTATACTACCAGTCCTTGGTAGGGATGACAATAGGGAGTGCTAGAATCCCTATTAAGGACTGTTGGAAAAAGAGTGGGAATATCCCAACTCTAAGCCCTAAACCAAAAACCCCATAAAGGACTGTTGGTATAAGGGGAAACATCCCAGGGTTCAGGTTCTCCTCCCCAAACAGGGCTTTTGGGGTAACAGGTAATGCCCTCCCCCTGATATTAAGCACCCCCTGCCCCCGAATATAAAAAAAAACCCAATTTACTATAATATAGCTATTATAGGGGGATTTAATATTGGGGGGTAGGGGGGGGGGGTTTTAATAAATTAGGGGGAGGGGCTTCAGTAATGCCTCACACAAAGTTCGCGACGGCTACTCCAGGAAAGTCTGGTTCTGCGGCGTTAACATCCTAAGCTGTGCCCCAAAGTTGGCACTTGTTTTTTCAAAAATAGGGGTACCCCGAATGCACCCCAAAGTTCATTCATGGACTCCTCTGCATCCGTATGCTCTAGAACAACCTGAACGCTGCTAAGCCTCAACCCTAAACCCTAAACCGCAGGGTTTCGCTACCCCACTCGCCAGGGCTTGGGGTTTAGAACAGGCTGCTCTTCAGGGCCAGCCCTTTCCACCCTAAACCCTTCAGGGTTCAGGGCCTAAGAACCCGAAACCAGTCCTTAATTGGGATTCTAATATGGGGGTGCGATAATCCCTGATTAAGGACTGGTAGTATAAGGGGGATCATCCCAAGGTTTCGGGCCTGAGAACTAGTTCATGGTTGGGATAGTATAAAAAACTTTAAAAGTTCTATTCCTTGTTGAGTTTAAGTACCCTTAAACATGTAAAATGCTAAGCCCCCCTGTGACAAGTGTACCCTATTATAGTCCCTATGAAGGGCTGTAATCATAAGGGGCCAACATCCCAAGGTTTAGGGCCTGAGAACTCTACAACCCTAAACCCTAAACCCGAAACCCTAAACCCTAAACCCTAAACCTGCCAAGAAAAGCTTTCCCAAACTGCGGCCGCTGTGCGCCGGCGCAGGAACTCGCACCTTTCATGGGCGCCAGATTCGGGGGGAGGGGTTTAGGGTTTAGGGTATATAGGTTTAGGGTTTAGGGTTTAGGGGGTTGAGGGTTTTAGGGAACTAGTGGGTTATGGGTTCAATTGGGGTTCAGGGTTCAGGGTGGTGTAGGGTTTGACGCGAGGGGTTAGGCTTTAGGGGATCTAGGGTAGCAAGAAACTGCACACGGGGTTTTGAGCTGTTTAAGGTTTATGATTTTTGGGTTCGGGAAACAGTAGGGTGTAAAATTGGTGTTTAGGGGTTAGGGTTTCCACTTAAAGGTGGCTTTCACAATAGAACCGTCTAGGGTTGCGGTTTAGGGTTTAGGGTTTAGGGTTTAGGGTTTAGGGTTTAGGGTTCAGGGTTCAGGGTTCAGGGGTTTAGGGTTTATAAGGGTTCAGGGGTTTCGGGGTGTAGGGGTTAGGGGTTTAGGGCTCCCGCACACATTCCTCGAGCTCGTCCAAGCCCAACGCAGCATGTCCTTCTCCACCTGCGCATCGACATCCTAGCAGCGCACCCCGCGGCGAGTGATCTCAGCCAGCGACAGCTGCCGCAGTATGCCTTTCTGCTCGTCCATGATGCTTACATGTCGCCGTGATGCTGCTGCGCTGCTCTGCTCCCCCTGCTGCGAGCAAACGATCTTGAGCGAAGCGGGCGCAAAAAATGTGAAGTCAAGAAAGGTCGCGGGAGGAGTATGGGTTCAGCACATGCAAGGCGCTCGCAAGGGAACCTTGGAAAGCACCCTGGCAAAATCTTAGCGCAAACGTCAGGAATAATGGGCCAGAATATCAGTACAACATGCAGGGCGGCGCCGAGGAGTCGCAAAGCGTGCCCTTTTGGACCAAACAGCTGCCCTGAACATCCTCCCACCCCGATTTTTGCTCCGATTCCACACGCCAGGGCGTGAACGCCAGAAATCAAGCCAAAACGCAAGGGACATGCGGCAAGGAACCGGCCCTCCTGCACAGCTTTCTTCCCCGAAGCGCGAGAAATGACCCAAAAGGTTGCGCACGTGCCCTCGAAATCGCATCCTCCACCCAGCCCGTGCGAAAAGCAACTTCAAGACCTTGCTGGCCGGGGTGGCACCCTGGCGCAGGCCTGGTCTGGCAAGCGGCTCTGCCTACTTTAGCCCGGGCACGCGAATCGTGTCCCCGGAGCCCAGGACTTCTTAACTCTGGAAAATTCACATCCCCGGGGAAACGGAATCAAGACCTGGCAGGGAATGGGTCACGCGGCAGGCTCCACAGAGCTTGTTGGACGGTGTCTTGGCACCAGGCTCACAGGGCTGGGACACAGAACACTAGCGTGGGGCACGCCCGAAGTGCGCTCTGCCCCGCCCGTGAATGGCAGACAAAGTCGGCTTGCCGGCGGGGCTTGATCCGCCCTGGCAATGCAGGACATTTGGAGCGCGGCATGGTGCTTTACGGCCCTGTGGTCCGAAAACCACCCAGTTGCGGCAGGGAAGAAAAGGCGACTCTATTTTGAACAAACCTTGAAGCAGGGCCGTGCCGTGGCGGCGCTGAGCGTTCCATAAGCAAATTTTATGCGGGTTTCCGAAAATAGGGGTACCTTGTTTAAACACACTACTTTGGGGTCTATAATTAGGGGTCCCAAGAAATTCTCGTAAACCCCCATATCGGCGTTGTGAGCCCAGGGTGTCTGAATCTAATGCATCCGGGTCCCTTTTTGGTACCTGTCAAAATAATTTCGGGCCCTTAACTTTTGGGTAGGGACGACAAGTTCGAGAACTTGCCAGAGGATCCTGGTGCTTCCTAAACCCTAAACCCTAAACCCTAAACCCTAAACCCTAAACCCTAAACCCTAAACCCTAAACCCCAAACCCCAAACCCCAAACCCCAGGCCCTGCCTCGTCTGGGCGGGATGAGAGCACGACCACCACTCGCGCGTACTTGCCCTGTCGAAAAGGAAAACTGCTATACCTACACTCTCCTTAGAACCAAAATAAGACAATGCGACTATTAGTCCCTTGGTTATATATATATATATGTCTATCTATCTATCTATCTATCTAGTAAATCTTTCCTATAAGGAGGCTGTAGACTGGAGAGACCCCTCTTACCATACCAGGTGCAGTTCAGGGACGAGTTTGGGGCTTACATGTTCTAGTCGGCCGCCCGGGTCAGATTGGGGAAGTGTCGCTGGGCACCCTACAGGTTTAGGGCGTAGGGGGCGGGGGGTGTACGGGCTATATACTATAATAGTACGCTATAATAGTGAATTATAGCAGTATCGGGTATATGATCTCAATCTTCGGGTTCATGTAGCCCCCACATACATAAGTTTCTGTAAGGCTTGGAGGATGCGAGCACTCAAGAACCCATGAAGCCAAGTAGGCCCTAAACCCTGTGAGCCCTATGAGCCCTCCGAGCCCTATTTGGAGGATCAGGTACTTATCACCCCAATTATAACTGCACTTACAAGCCCCCTAAGTCCTCCATGTAGGTTATATATAAGTGCGGCTAGAATTGGAGAAATAAGTACCCGTGCACCTCCAAGTAAGTGTACACTTGGAGGTTCATGGTACCTATTGACCAATTATAACTGTACCTTTCACGCACTCAGAAGCCTTAAGTGCCCTAACATGGTTGTAAGTACAGTCATAAGCACAGTTATAATCGGCTAAAATGTACCATGAACCTCCAAGTAGTAGCCCTAAACCCTAAACCCTAAACCCTAGACCCTAGACCCTAGACCCTAAACGTTGTCAACCCCCCCCCCCCCCCAATCATGTGGGATTGGGGTTTAGGGGTTTGGGGCTTCGGGCCTATGGTTGAGGATGTAAGGACGGGCCATTGGGAGCGAAGGGCATGGTAGGGTTTAGGGTTTAGGGTTTAGGGTTTAGGGTTTAGGGTTTAGGGTTTAGGGTTTAGGGTTTAGGGTTTAGGTTTTAAAGTTTAGGATTTAGGGTTTAGGGCTGTTTCTGCCGAAGGCACGCACAGCTGCTCGTCGGAAGCGCCCTCGGCCGAAGATGCGCCATTGCGCACCTGCGAAGCCGCCCGAATGATTCCAGGAAAAGGACTTTGTAGGGTTTAGGGTTTAGGGTTTAGGGTTTAGGGTTTAGGGTTTAGGGTTTAGGGTTTAGGTTTAAGGTTTAGGAATTAGAGTTTCGGGTTTAGAGTTTAGTTTTTTGGGGTTCAGAGCCTAAATTAAAAACCCATATATGGTTTAAGAACACCAAATCCAAAACCCTAAAGCCTAAACGCTAAACCCTAAACCCTAAACCCTAAGAAGAACTCTAAGCAATCTTGGAAGGCCGGCGGATCCGCCTCCTGGGGCTTCAAGCTCGGGGCTGGGGTCGGCAGCTTCGAGACTTGCAAGACCCTAAACCCTAAACCCTGAACCCTAAACCCTAAACCCTAAACCATTGTAAGGCCTGCAGGCCGAGAAGGCCTGCACCCTACTCCCTAGACCATGCATCCCCAGTCTCAAACCCGAAGCCCGGTTTAGGGTTTAGGGTGTAGGGTTTAGGGTTTAGAGTTTAGGGGCTCTTGTTTCAAGGTGTTCCTGAAAGGCACGCAGCCGTGGGACTTGGCGAGTTGTGCGTGCTTTTGTTGCATTGACTTGGGTTTTTGTGGTTCTGACCTCCCGAAGGGAAAGGGCTCACGGAGCGTGCCTAGCAGGCAGATGGAGGACGGTGTCTTCTACAGCTCGGGACTCCTTTACTCTGCTAAGTGCTGTACGATGGCTTTATGACCTAAGTTGCATATACCTAACTTCCCTAAACCCTAACTTCCCTAAACCCTAAACCCTAAACCCTAAACCCTAAACCCTAAACCCTAAACCCTAAACCCTAAACCCTAAACCCTACACCCTACACCCTACACCCTACACCCTAAACCCAACCCTCAACCCCGAACCAGGGTCCTAAACCTGAATCCCAAAATGGGGGGGAGGAGTTGTACTTCTATTTACCTACAACCGGGGGGGGCCACCTCCATGGCGTGTGAAGCCTAAACTCCAGCGCGTCCTACTGGGACCCCTAAGGGAATGCAAGGGCCACATTGGGAGCATATTAAGGGGAACCTTTAAGGGTACAACCTTAAGGGCACGAGTCTGAATCCCTGACCCTAAACCCTAAACCCTAAACCCTAAACCCTAAACCCTAAACCCTAAACCCTAAACCCTAAACCCTAAACCCTAAACCCTAAACCCTAAACCCTTCCGCTGCGCCTCCATGACCACAACGCCCGGAACTTGGGCCGGGCCGCAGCCGGGAAAGCGCACCTCTCAGCTCAACCCTACATCCTAAACCCGAAACCCTACATACCCTACATACCCTACATACCCTACATACCCTACATACCCTACATACCCTACATACCCTACATAACCTACATACCCTACATACCCTACATACCCTACATACCCTGCACCCTAAACCCTCAAACCCCAAAACCCCACACCCTTAAGCCCTAAAAACCTTGGAGCCGCTTGGGGTTGATTCCAGCTCACGGCTCCTCTTTGAGGTATAGAAACCCGAACCCGAAGCCTTAAACCCTATAGAGTTCATGTATCAAACAAAACAACCCACACACGAGTTTTTTCTAAATCAAGCCCCCCATGTGTGGTCAAGGGCTTTCGTCAACAGGCTCAGACTAGGGCTTCGGGTTTGGGGCTGTAGGCTTTCGGGTGTGGAGCTTCGGTTTGAAGCTTCATGTGGCTTGAGCTTCCAGGGCTTTGAGGGGGTTTCGAGGGTTGAGGCGGCTGAGGTTTAGGGTTTAGGGTTTAGGGTTTAGGGTTTAGGGTTTAGGGTTTAGGGTTTAGGGTTTAGGGTTTAGGGTTTAGGGTTTAGGGTCTAGAGTCGATGAGAGTGAAGGGCAAGGACTTACTTTGAGGGCTGACAGCCAGAACCTCGAGAATCGGGAAAGTCCTGCAATGGCTAAGGTACACAGGTTTAGGGTTTTTGGATTTCGGGTTTAGGGTTCCTATACCCTAAGCCCTAAAAACCGTATGAGCCCTATAAACCCAAAACCCAAAACCCTGAAAAACCTAAACCCTAAACCCTGAACCCCTGAACCAAAATACCCTGAACACCCTGAACACCCTAAACCCTGAACACCCTAAACCCTCGAACCCAAAACTCTGAACACCCTAAACCCTAAACCGTGAATACCCTAAACCCCTAAACACCGTTAACCCTAAACCCTAAACCCTTAAGCCCTAAATCCTGAACACCCTAAACCCTGAACACCCTGAACCCTGAACACCCTGAACCCTGAACACCCTAAACCCTGAACACCCTAAACTCCGAACACCCTAAACCCCGAACACCCTAAACCCCAAAACCCAAAACCCAAAACCCTAGACCCGCCAGCCTTATCCACGACATCGGCTGCCTCCCGTAGGCCCAGGAGCCCAGTGGATTTCCGGATGCCTCCCGGGGATTGAGTGGGAATTAGGGGGTTAGGGTTAGAGGGGGTTTAGGGTTTGGGGTTTAGGGTTTGGGGTTTGGAGTTTAGGGTTTGGGGTTTAGGGTTTTGGGTTTTAGGGGTGTTGAGTGGGTTTAGGGATGTAGTGAGTTTAGGCTTTAGGGTTTTTGGGTTTGAGTGGGTTTAGGGATGTAGTGGGTTTAGGGTTTTAGTGATTCGGGATTTAGTGGGGTTTGTAGGGCTTAGGGATTAGGGGGTTTAGTGGGTTCAGGGTTTTAGGAGTTAGTGGGTTTAGGTTTTTAGGGATTTAGTGGGTTTAGAGTTTAGGGTTTACGGAGTTAGCGGGTTTAGGGTTTAGGGATTTAGTGGGTTGTAAAGGTTTCTGGGGCACAGGGCTTGAGGGGGGTTCAGGGGTTGTAGGGTTTTAGGGCTTTGGCATTCAGAGTTTGTCTATTTTTAGATCTTGATCTATCAGGGCTTTTGTGGTTTTTGTGATTGTTTGTTTTGAACATACATTGTTTTTAAGAGGGCTTTAGGGTTCTCAGGGGTTTTGGGGGGTTAATGCGTGTGTTCTTTTGAGGGTGTCTTTGACTTTTGGGTTTGTAGGGGTTTCTCGGCTTTGGGAATGTGTTGGTTGAGA